CAATGTGCCCTTGTGGCCAAGAAGGCAAATGGCATCCTGGGGTGCACTAAAAAGAGCATGGCCAGCAGGTCAAGGGAGGTTATCCTCGCCCTCTACTCTGCCCTGGTGAGGCCACATCTGGAGTACTGTGTCCAGTTCTGGGCCCTGCAGTTCAAGAAATACAGGGATCTGCTGGAGATATTCCAGCGGAGGGTTACAAAGACGATCAAAGGACTGGAGGATCTCACTTATAAGGAAAGGCTGAGAAACCTGTGTCTGTTTAGCCTGGAGAAGAGAAGACAGAGAGGGAATCTCATCAATGTTTATCTATATCTAAAGTGGGGGTGTCAAGAGGATGGGGCCAGACTCTTTTCAGTAGTGCCCAGCAACAGGAAAAGGGTCAATAAGCACAAACTGGAACACAGGAAATTCCATCTGAACACGAGGAAAAAATCCTTTACTTTGAGGGAGACAGAGCTCTGGAACAGGCTGCCCAGAGAGGTTGTGGAGTCTCCTTCTCTGGAGATATTCAAAACCCACTTGGATGCATTCCTGTGCAACCTGCTGTAGGTGAACCTGCTTTGGCAGGGGGGTTGGACTAGATTATCTCCAAAGGTCCTTTCCAACCCTGACCATTCTGTGATTCCGTGATCTGCCTGACTGACAGCTCAAAATACAGTGAATTACAACATGTGCATAGTTTGGACTAAACACCAGTCCAGTGCATTTTCAAACAAGTTTCCATAAGCCCTTGCACAATCATCCTCACATGGTAAAAATCAGAAGCTCCATCCTCAGTGCTACACTTAGGTGTGCAGCTGTATTTACTAGTCTTACAAAACAGTTCACAGACAAATTCACACTTTGCATTCACTTGTTCAGCCTCTGAATACTTGCCTAGTATTTTCTAAGTTCTTTGCAAGTCATACATATTTTCACAAAAATGGGCAGATTACCAACTAATTCCAAGTTAGTTGATAATAACAAAGCTGGTTTAAACAGTCTTACAAAATTTCACCAGATAACCTTTAATGAGACTTGTTTAGTCTGGATGAAAGGGTAGGGAAGACCTTGAAAAACCTGGTGAGTACGTTCCAAAAGAGTTCTTCCATCTGTAGGCGGTGGTTTCTTTGTGTTTAGTAAACCTAGATGGACGTTTCCCATGTATTTGTTGAGTTACTTCAAAAACTCAAACAATTTTTATACTTCACAACGTCTTGCAGCAAGGAGTGATACAAGTTAATTGTGTGTTTTGTGAAAAGCCACCTCCTTCTGCTGGTCTGGAACCTACTTATGTTTATTTCAGTCAATGTCCCCAAGGTTTCATGTTGAAAGAGCCCATGAAAAATGGTCATCTCCTTCAAGTCACTCAAGATTTTATCAGCCCTTGAGTTCTGCTTCTTTCCAGAACTAAAGTGTCTAAAATTGTTCAAATTTTTATCATAGGAAAGCTGTTCTACAGCTTCATAAATCTTGCCATTCTTCTCTGTGATTTCTCAATGTTTTTACTTTTTCTGAGCTGCTTCAAACCAAATGCAGTATCCAACATGCAGATATATCATAGATATACATACAGTGGCATAATGGCATTCCATGTTTAGTCCCTTACCATCTTTTGAACAACTCGAACCTTCCTTCACTTTTATGACCATTGCTGAGAACTGAGTTGATGTCTTCATTGGAGGCACCTCACCTTCTACAAGTCCTTTCCTCTTCCTGTTGCCAAAAAAGAGGGGAGACAATTCCTAATTTAACTGCCTCTCTTCAGTCTCAGAGTGTTCTGCCTCTCCTTCAGTATCTAATGATGAATTAGGTATTTAAACCTTGTCTGAGAGAAACTGTAAAGAGAATTTTAGGCATCATATAGCAGAATGTCATTATTTACTTTCAAATCCTGGCAAGGCACCAAATATTTTGTGCTGTTCTCTGAACGGTTTTGTCTTCTCTTCCAACTGCTAGTTCAGATGCACAAAGCTTTCTCTCCATCTCTTTGCATTTCCAGCTTCCTTCAGAGGGAGAGGGACATGCGTGAGCTGTGGGGTGACAAGGCTCTGCACTGGTCACAGAACGGGGAAAGCAAAATGCCATTACAGGTGACACAGGATTTCACTATAGTGCTGAGGTGTATCTTATCTCATTTTTCACATCAGTGACAGTTGATGCTTGGTGTCAATGCTTTCAGTGAGAGTCCACCACTGACACCTGCATGTCCCTTAAGCTACGTGAGGATTTCAGCGACACTGGGGGATATTCCCTGGGATGCCATTTAGCAGATTTGGGGTCACTTTGCAATGGCAATATCTGTCTAATGGGGGCAAAGGCCAGCATGAATCAAGCCATCAGAGCGAAAGCCCCTGGCAAAGCTTCCTAGCTGGATTCCCAGCAGTCATCTTGCCCACGATGTAGGAAAGTGGGCTGGTAAGGACCTACCACCCACTAGTGCAGGTCTCTTGTTTCCAAAAGGCATCAAGCCTTGGAACGGCTTGTCGGGTAGTTATATCCTGGAAAACACATTAGAAATCGCTTCATAACTAGGCTTGCAAAACTTTGTTTTTATCAGCTATACGGCAGAAGTCCTAACATGGACGATGGCCCCTGCTGCAACAGAAGACTGCAGGCTTGCAGTTGGAGAGGGCTCCTGCATTGGGAAGCCTGTTTAAAGGCAGGATCATTAACTGCAAGTCCCTCCCAGGAGAGTGGCTTGCTTCATGACTAATGCTCAGCACAGTTAAGTGGCACAGCTAGAGTTCTTGGCAAAGCAACATATGGTGTTTTCAAGCACTGTAGATGTTTCATTGCATATGTTTCCCACTCTGTTACCTCGAGACACTTCAGGACACCTCTTTGCTCTGTTTATCATCGCTGCGCTAGTCCTTTTTACCTTTATTTTCAAATGTTAGTTATTTACAGTATCGATACTAGAAATTCATAATACAAAGGTAGATATACCTGTGTATACACCATTTTGGGATTTTCTTCTAATTGAGACTCCAAACTATGCAAAAGCTTTCCGATGCTAGACTCTGCCACTACTTTCCATCATATTGTGCGTGCTGCTTATGAGTTTGGGACTCTTTGTGCAAAGCACTGAGGCTTTGGTTTTATGCCAGCTAGAAACTCAATACACTTTTTGACTGCTTGGCATGTGTCCTTTGGAACAACAGCATTTTCATTTGCACAAGTAGCTTTTACATAAATAAGCATAGTTCAGAGGCAGGCAGAAAGATACATGAACGCACAAAGCAATAAAGCCCAGCCATGCCAGGGGGGCTTACCAGTTAGTACAGTGCATTTATTCAGGGAACCACATTTGCCCTCTCTGGAAAAGCCATTGTGATACTTTCTCCAGAGTCTGATGAGCCAGTCCCAGAACAATCCTTGTGAGTCATCAGTTTCCATTTGCACAAACCTGGTGTTAAATGAA